AAGCACTATGGTAGGTGAAGATACAAAATATGAATGAGGCAGGTAAGAGCCCTTCCTTACAGAGTTAATTTTTTAATGGTGAGAGTTTGATGATATGCAAGTAGACAAATAAATGAACAAGATAATTTTGGATAATACTTGCTATGAATTTTGAAAAACACACACAAAACAAAATGATGTCCTTTTTTTTTTTTTTTTTTTATTCTCACCCAAGGACATTTTTCCATTTTTTGCTCAGGTGGAGTGGGAGAGAGAAGAGAGGAAGAGACAGAGACAGAGAAAAACATTGACGTGAAAGGGACACATCAAGTGGTCGCCACCCGTACAACCAACCAGGGCTTGAGGTACGTGCCCTTAGCGGGAACCAAACCCGGGTCTCTCCGGACCACAGGCTGATGCTCTAACCGCTGAGCCAAACCGGCCAGGGCCAAAATGATGTTCTAAAGCAGCAATTTTCAAGCTTTTTCATCTCATGGCACACATAAACTAATTACTAAAATTCTGCAGCATTGCCCGGCTGGTGTGGCTCAGTGGATTGAGCGCCATCCCATGAACTGAGAGGTCCTGGTTCGATTCCCAGTCAGGGCACATGCATGGATTGTGGGCTCCATCCCCAGTTGGGGGCTACAGGAGGCGGCTGATTGATGTTTCTCTCTCACATTGATGTTTCTATCTCTCCCTTCCTCTCTCTATAAAAAAAAAAATCAATAAAACATGTAAAAAATAAATAAAATTCTGCAGTACACCAAAAAATATCTTTTATTTTTTGCTGATCTGACCAAAATAGAGGTATAATTTTGATCCATTCACACCAGATGGCTATTGTTGTGTTGGCTATTGTCATTTTCTTATTTGACAGTCTGTGGGAAAAGAGGTCAGTTCCTCTAACTAAATAGTCAGATACTGTATGTTTTAAATTTTCTTTCGGCTCACAGTGTGCGGCTGCACACTGGTTGAAAATCTGTTTCAGAGAATGATTTGGGAGAAGGACTGCCCACTCTAAATAAAAAAGACTGGGAGAAGCTCTCTGAAGGGGTAAAGATGAGCTTACACATGGATGATGAGGAATTGTGGCTGCAGTGAACATTCTGGGCAGAAGGAAAGGCAAGTGTAAAGGTCCTGGGGTAGAACAAGGAGAGCTATAGTGTAGCTGAAAAGTCCAGTGTAGCTGAAGCCTGTAAAATAAGGGAGGTGGTAAAAGGAGTCAGCAGAAGACAAGAGGCCTTGCTAAGGAGCTTGGGTTTTATTTTAAAGACATCAGGAAATCACTGGAGAATCTTAAACAAGGGAATGGCATAGCCCGACAGACTTTTTTTTAAAGTACAGACTCTCTTTCATGTTTTATTTTGCTAATGTACAGCTAATTTCTAAATTAAGAGCATGCTTACAAGAAAGGTTAGGCAGTGATTCACTTCAATCCATTCCTAAGTCTGGTTTTGACTAAACTTTTAAATAACTGTTGACGATGACCGCATCTTGACTCTCCAATTTCAAATTAGGTGAAAGGATCCGTTTTCATTTTTATTTAGAATCATGGTCGATGTATCCCAGTCCAAAGGGTTTCTCCCAATGAGACAAACACTTTGGAGAATTCCTTAATTCTCCCAAGGAAAACACATGCTGACCATATACTCCCATCACCAAGTTTGCAATGATCACAGTGTTAAATTACATGCGTGATTAGGTCAGGGGTCAGTAAACGTTTTCTGTAGAGGTCCCAACGGCAAACGTTTTCATCTGTGTGGCCAAGTGCTCGCTGTCCAAGCTCTCAACTCCGCCGCCGTGGGCGAGAGCAGCCACAGGCAGCCCAGAAACGGGCGTGTAGCTCCAACACAGTTTCATATCATTGTCATGTTACATGAAATGGGAGTCTTTTTAATTTTTTTCAAGACAGAAACACCATTCTTAGCTTGTGGTTAGTATAAAAACAGGCGACAGGCCAGAGTTAGCCAGCAAGGCATAATTTACTAACTCCCGCTTTAGGTGGATTTGGGCCTGATAGACATTTTTAATGCATTTTGGCTACAGTCTGGGAGGTGGGTCACGGGATGTGGGGAACAGGGGTGGAAGCAGGGAAACCAGTCGGGTGGTCACTGGTGTGGCCTTGACAGGGGCAGTGGGCAGCGGAGCAGGAGAGAAGGAGACACACAGCACATTGTGGAGACGCTGGCGGGCTCGCTGGCGTATTGGTGGGAGTGGAGCAGGGAAGAGCAGAGTGCAATGTGATCTTGGGTTTGGGTCTTGAACAACTGGATATATGGACATGTGACTTACTTAAATGGAGAACACTGGGAAGGAGCAGGTTCCGGGGGAAATCAAGAGTTCTGGTTTACCAGGGTTAGGTTTGCGATGCCTGTTCGGTATCCAGATGTAGACATTTAGCAAGCAGTTGGAACTCAGAGAAGGTATCTGGGCTGGAGATAGATGTGGGGGCATGGTTATATAGGAGGTACTTGGAGCCCCAGGACTAGATCAGATCAACTAGGGACCGTGTATAGATAGAGAAGAGAAAAGGACAAGGAAAGAGTCCACAGGAATTCCCAGAAGAGGAAGAATTAGCAAAAACACTGAAGGTAGCCAGTGGATGAAACAGATAAATCAGAAGAATATTTTATCATGAAGGTCAAAGGGAGCAAGTTTTTCTTTAAAAAAATGTTGTTGTTTTTTTAAATATGTTTTTATTGACTTCAGAGAGAGGAAGGGAGAGGGAGAGAGAAACATTGATGAGAGAGAAACATCAAGCAGCTGCCTCCTGCACGCCCCCTACCAGGATCAAGCCCCCAACCTGAGCTTGTGCCCTGACCAGAAACCCAACCAGCGACCTGTCAGTGCAGGGGACAATGCTCAAATAACTGAGCCACACCAGCCGGACTTAAGAAGCAAGTTTTTCAAGAAGGGAGTGGTCAAGCATGTGAAACACTGTTGAGAGACTGTATTGTGAGGACAGTGAAGTGGCCATTAGACTGGGCAATGTGAAAACAATGTGTCCTTGACAAGAACAATTTCAAAGGACTGATGGAAACAAAAGAATGATGACTGGGACTTCCAGTTTAGCATGTAGGTTTTAACCCAAGCTTATCTCCATTCCGTCCGGACACCCACTAAAGAAAAGTGATGAAATAAAAAAGAATGAGCCCACAAGAACAAAGAGTATGGCATGAAGGTGACAGAGGACAAAAGTAGTTAAGAGGTAGGAGCTAGGACGCTGGATAATGATAACTAACTTGACAAGGCAGAGAAAGCTAAGACCAAAGCATTGCAAAGGGGTGGGGGGAGCCAACGAGAAACCAACTGGTTCCAATCACTGAACCCAAGAAAGGCTCATGAATTTGAGACAAGGTGGGAAATGGGGCTAGAAACAGGTGGATAGGGAGAGTCTTTATAAGGAAGCATTGAATCCTTGGGGCCCCTCCCTAGCCCTGCACTGCCAGGAACCTGTGCTGGTGGGAATAAAGGCCAGGACCAGTCCCAGCCTGTGAGACTGCCCAGTGTGTTCTTACAACAAACACACTTATTTGAGCACCTTGAGTGGCTCTGACCTCAGCCTCCTGGCCCAATGAGCCCCAACAACAGCAGGGGCATCCTGGAGAAGGCTGATTTTCCAGACCCTGTCCCAGCCCCATCTACATTCTCCCAGGGAATTGTCATGGACAGGTGGCCAGCTGAGCTGCAGGCTGCCCTTCCTCGGGGACTCCAAAATGTCAAGGAAGAGCCTGGCTGCAGGTCTGGAGGTTCGGGGAAGATAAGCAGGCGTCCCAATTCACAGAGGCCTGGTGGTTAGACAGTATCTTCTGTAGCCACCACATTTCAGGATAGGGAACGAAAGGCCAGGGCAGTGCAACAATGTGTCTGCAGTCACAGAGCTTCCTTATTGGAAGAACTGCTGGGGATACATCCAGGCTCTTGACTTTCATTCCTCTTTCCACTGCCCCATTTCCTCCCATCATGTTCAAAGACTACTTTGACAGGCAGGATCTGGTCATTTCCAAGGCACTACTGAAACCAAAATACTGAAACATAAGACTGACTCACCAGTGTGCCACAGACAATATGCTAAAAGCAGAATCCCTCGAGTCCTTCTAGTCCCACCCACCTCTTGTCCTGCCTTGTCACTGACCCACCGCCCTGGACCTCATTTCCTCATTCGTAAATGTGGAGAGAGTGACCGTGCTAAGAGCAGAGGAAGGAACGCAGCTCCCGGGGCCTGGGGGCTGCATAGATCGGCCTCCAAATCCAGGTCTGTCAGGGCTCCCTACCACTTACACATGTGTGCAAAATTTCATTCTATTCCTATGTGGATATTTGTTTTCATACAAACATAGGTGGGGATGATGTTCCCCACAAACAATTCACATCAAATCGATGCTCCGCGAAGACGGCCCATACAGGGTGGGGCAAAAGTAGGTTTACAGTTGTGAGTACACAAACACAGTTTATTCTTGTATTATTATTTATTAATTATTGTATTATTTTCTATACGAACAACTGTAAACTGCTTTGCCCGCCTTGTTTTATCCTAACCTTGCCTGTCCTTGGCATGACTGCGTGTCCCAGTTCGAGAAGCCCAGGACAAGAACACTATGAGAATTGTCAGCTCTTAACATTCTTTGAAACTTCTCACACTTCAACAAGCCCAATCTCCAACCTGCCAACATGGGAGCCAACATCCTTCAACTATTCCTGGAATAGACATCAAGTTTTTTTTGTTTTGTTTTTTATCCTCACCCGAGGACATTTTTCCTTTTTTTTTTTGTTCAGATAGAGTGGGAGGGAGAGAGTGGAAGAGAGAAAGAGAGAAACATCGATGTGAAAAGGACAATCGAGTGGCTGCCACCTGCACGACCAACCAGGGCCAGGGACAAACTGCAACCAAAGTACACACCCTTAGCGGGAACCGAACCCTGGTCTCTCTGGACCACAGGCCGATGCTCTAACCGCTGAGCCAAACTGGCCAGGGCAGAAGTCACGTCTTGATGCTATTAGACTCCTCCCACATGTGACCAGGGGCCAGGATTCGCAGGGATGTCCAGGGGAGTTTTCCGCTGTGTTAGAAGCTGCGAGACTGGAGAAGACAGGCGTGATGTAGGAGCTGGCCCCCACATTCCTGCGGGCTGGTTCACACCCACCAAACAGCCACAGTCTAACCCAGGTGGCGGCCATAACTCGGCTGTCACACCCAGAGCCTTGTTTTGAGCCTCTCGTGGGCTTTCTCAAGGTGCAGCAGAGCAGAGGGGAGGTAGAGGACGGGGTGGGGACTGTGCAGGGTGCCCCTAGACTGGAAGAATAGAATGCATGCCTGGGAATGGCAGCAGGCCGTCTCCTCTCCTGAAGGCTTTAGTGGAAGCTGATAGTATTTAACCCTTTCAAACACCCTCCCCCAATGCTGACCATACCCTACATACTGGGTCTGTTGGGAGTTTTTAAACAGAGGTGTGTGTGCGTGCGTGTGTGTGTGTGTGTGTGCATATATATGTGTATGTATATGTGTTGGGAGGGGCTCATCCTGTGTTACCCTCCCAAGCCCTGGTGTCAAACCTTCCTGATGGCCCAGAGAGCTCTCTCTCACCTCCATGCCTTTGCAAATGCTATTCTCTTTGCTTGGAATTACCATCCTCCCTCCTCCCCATTCCTCATCTGCAGCAGTCGGTTTGCTCTGGGAAGGTGTCCACCTCCAGGCAGAGTTGGACGAGCACTCCTGAGCCGCTCCTTATCGTTTCGTACAGGTCCGTAGTAAAGCATCTGTCACCTGAGAAGTCATCATCTGCTTTCTCACCCATTTCCTCCTCCATGCTCTAGGCTTTGAGTGTCCGTGCCCGACACAGAGCCTGATGCCAGAAGGTCTCCTTTTAATGTTCTTTGTGGAGGGAAAAACAAAGATGTCAAAGATTAAAGCAGCAGCACACTCAGGCCAGTGCCACAGGGCTGAGCAGTGTGGTCCCACCCACCGATTTTCCAAGGCCTCCCGGCGCCTCCCTCAATCCACAAAATACTGAGTCCCAGAGAAATCCCTTCCTGCCACCCAAAATTGCCCTTTCCCATAGCAATTATCCCTGGAGCCCTCCGCAGAGGAAACCTGAGAGTCGAAACTCCCTCTTACAACATCCCAGAGAGTAAGACCTCTCCCAGCCTCCATGCTCAGAGCCCAGGGATGCTGAAGGAGCTCCCACACGCCGTCCCTGTCGGCTGTGCACGTTCAGCCTGGGAGAGGCAGGACCCCGCAGGAACCCCAGGCCGAGGCTGGGGCACACTCCCCGTGCACTCTGCTTCCTGCTCTCTCTGCCCCAACACCAGGTCAAAGCTCCTGTCAAAGCCCCTTTCTGTAACCCTGACCTGACCCGATCCCCATCTCCATTCCTCTCTGCCCTGAGGTGTTATAGGGCTCCTTCCTGGGTGCCCGTCCCTCCCCTCCCCTGATGCCATGTTAGTAAACATGACAGAGAGTTCTGGAGTACTGTGACTAGCAGGCATCCTCAGTGACTGAGGGCCCTTGAGGACATGGGAGCAGCTTCCAGCCAGGCCGGGAAGATCCTGCTGGTGAACTGCTGACTCAATTCCAGCCAACAACCATCAAGGCCCACTCTGGGCCCAACCCTGTTCTAGGTCCTGGAGGGACACACAGCCCAGCCCAGTCCCTAAGGGGAGGCATACCTAAGAACCACAGTTACAATCTGTTGACTATGCAGAGGAGCTGCCCAGTGAAAGGGAGGGCAGAGGGAGTGAGGGGAGGGAGCAGAGAAATCAGGGTGGTCAGCCTTGCTATGGCTATAGCACCCCAGGACTCTGAAGGCTGATGAGGTGGGGGGTAGGCAAGGATATCATCCAGCTTCACTATTCCTGAGCCAAACTGCCATTTTCTCTCTCAGTTTACAAACAGTGGGTCCAAGATAGCCCCCCAAGTGACCAGGGTGGGAGGCCCCAGAGCTGTGCCACAGCACCACCCTGAGGTACCAATTCCTGATTTCAGCAAACCCCTCAAGAGCAAAGCCAAGACTGTGCAGTGTGACAAGGAGACAAGGAAGAGGAGGAGGAGGAATGAGGAAAGGAAGGATTCAGGAGAGCAGAATGAGAGTGAGATGTGGGGTCAAAGAGAGAGGACACAAGATGCAAAAAGCAGAGTCGGCTGTGGCTATGAATGCAGTCGGAGCTATTCCAGCCCTTCCCACAGGGGGGCACTGCGTATCTGGCCTGCAAACTCTGAGGGTTGGAGGTGATGGCTACAATGGACTCCTGGCCAGTATGCAGTTAGCTGCCTGTAATGGTACCTGAAGGGGCTCTCAGCCTGGACTTACTCAGGTAATCGCCTCACACACACCTTTTCATAGGCCTCAAACAGGATTTGATTGCTCATAACCTTTGGTTCCTCACACACTTTTATGTCAATTTATGGCCCTCTTTTATTATTCTGTGTATGTCATGAACAATGATTGCTGAACACCTACTTGAAATTCAAATTCAAATGACTGAAAGTCAAATGATACATTTGTATATTAGGGATGGAGGGTTGTACTCAGATACTTAAGAGGCATTCGCTCCTTCAGGGGCTGAGAGAACTAGGTTCCATGCAAAACAAAGAGGAACTGAGAACACCCCAACAAAGTTAAGGGTCATGGTTTCTTTAACGATGTTGAAACCCAGAAATCCAAGGGTCATCTCTTTCCAGAAGCCCCGCACCCGGAGGATCCCGCCTGCTGCACACACCTCTCCAGACCAGGAGGTGGCAAGCCATGCCAGGCCGTCCAAATCCGGTCCACCAACTCTTTTGTAAAACCTATGAGCTAAGAATGCTTTTTACATTTTTTAATGGTTGAGGGGGGGGAATCAAAAGAAGAGTCATACTTTGTGACACAGGAAAATTACATTACGTTAAACTTCATCATCCATAAATAAACTGTATGGGAACACACCCACATCCATTCACGTCTACAGTTGTCCCTCGTTTGCCGTGGTTAATCCGTTCCAGACTCTAGCGGTTGTACCTGGCGTTGAAGGATTCCTGGGGTGCTCGAATACATAGGCCTACAGTCCATACGTACAGTAATTTTCATTTTAATTGTAATACAGGGGTGTATAATTGACTCAGACAACTAAGCCTGCGCTATATCATTTTCACGGTCTCCATCAACTTTTTAATAAATATATTTGGAAAAACCGCGATAGAGTGAAGTCTCGAAAGTCGAAGCGCAAAGTGGCGAGGGACGACTGTACACTGCCCACGGCTGTTTCTGCACCACATCGCAGTTAAGTAGTTGCAACAGAGACCAGAGAACCCCAAAAGCCTGAAATATTTACTATCCAGCCTGTACAGAAAGCAGCCGGCTCCTGCCCTGGACCGAAGTCCAGAGAAGGAATCTGAGACCCGTGTGTCTGACGGCTCTCTCTTCTCTCCCCTCCCCTCTCACTTTCCCTCTCCTTCTTCCTCCCACAACTGGCTGGGACCAAGAAGCAGGTGTTTATTTATTTCCTTCACATAAGCTCTTCCCCTTTCTGATTTCAGCCTCATGAGTAAGGCTTAGGGACAGGCTGGAGCATTCTGGTGGGCGTGCCTCCAATGGGCCACGGGCGTGCAGCAAAGTGGACGTGGACGGCCACGGCTTCAGCCCTCAGGTGAGTGGGCAGCTGGAGCACAGGGCCGGTTACTCCTCGATAGAGCCTCACCTGCAGCTCCTTAAAGGACCACCCTCTCAAGCAGGCCCCCTCAGGCAGCAAGGACAATGATCATCCCCCCAAGTGGTGAGGGAGGCCTCCACCACCTGGACATGTCCTTGGGCAGCCAGCTGCAGGGTGTGCTGCTGCCCACTGTGGACAAGGAGGAGTGTGTGGCGCATGCACCCAGGGAGCACAGAGCGCAGGCTAAGGGGGTAGGGGCGGGGGCAGGGAGAGCAGGAGGGAGGTCCTGGTGGGCACAGCCTCAGATGGCGGCCCCGAGTCTCTCTCTTCACGCGTATGTACAGACCATATTATCTATTGTCCAAACGGGTGCACTTTTTTAAAAATCAGCTTTAATGAGGTATAATTTATATATAATAAAGTGCATCCATTTTAAATATATAGTAGTATGAGTTTTGACAGAGGCGTATGTGGGTGATTTACCAGGGTAACCACTGCCACAGCCAAGATCAAAAACCGTGCCATTACCTCCAGACGTTCTCATGAACCCCTCACAGTTGTTCCCCACTCCCCGCAGCTGCTGCCCAGACAGCTACTCACCTGCTTTCCATCGCTGCAGATTGTGGAGCCTGTTCTAGAATTTCAAAGAAACGAAGCCAATCCCACAGCATGTACTTTTTTGTGTCTGGCTTCTTTCTCTCAGGATAATGTTTGTGAGATTCATCCATGTTATATTATCAACACCACACTCATGTACCTTTTTTTTTTGGAGAGAAAGGAGGTGCTATTAATAGTCACATCAGGTCAGAGGCATAAATCGGAGCCACCCAGGACAATGCGCGCTCTGTGGACATGGCTGTTTCTAGCCTTCGCAGCAGCTGCGCGTCGGCCGCCGCATGCAGGCTGGCGCGGGCTGACTGCTGTAGACATGCACGTGTTCTGCCAGGCACACGTCATCGTTATTTCAGGTCCCCGAGTCGAGAAGAGTCGATGGATTCTAAGTCCAATGCCTGATCACAAGAAATTTCAACACCGCTTTTGTCGGTGGAAGGAGAGAGAAAGCCACAGTCCTGAAATAGAATGTCAACTGCTATCATTTTTCAGTGGTTATAAAGTTGTTCTTAATTTTTTTATCACCAATTTGCACACACAAAATTTTCTGTCCATGAGGATCATCAAGAATGTGAATAAAACATTAAAATTTTTTATCAGAAATCTCACGTTGCCATTTCAGCCTGAAATTAGCTATGCCGATGATGCTAGATCATGTTTAACAATAAAGTGTTTGAAATAATTTTATACAAATTCAATATTAACGGTTTCCTTTACTTTGTGTCTTACTATAATGACATAACATGAACACACGTCCCGTCCCCTTCAGCTTACCCCGCGCGCCCTTCACACAGCCTCGTTCCCAGGTGCGCTGTGATGGGGAAGCCCCACAGCACAGCCCAGGCTACGCAGCAGCAGCCGCCCAGCTGGAAGCCAGCCGGCTTCTAAAGCAATCTCTCCTGCCCTCTAGTGATCATCTTTGCAGCTGGGTCTCTGCGGGAAAACAGTGACGCAAGTGGTCATTCAACACAGCAGTTTTATGTTTGCACAAGTATCATCCCTGTTCCTCAGGCATTGTGCCTGCCCTGGGTCCTGGCAGGTGGAAATCTTGGCGGGCATCCCCTTTGTGCTTCATGGGGCCTGGGGAGGCCAAGGCTATGGCTTCTGTTCCCTGATTCCACCACCCTCTCTGCCCGCATCTTCTCCACTACCACAGCACGGGCAAAGTCATGACCATCCCCGGCTGGAACACCACCCTTGCCATCACCTAGAACCACCAGCCACCAACCCCTTCCTCATCCGCACAAGATGCAAGGGCCTCGGGAGCGGGGAGAGGAGAAGGAAGCACCCACCCTGCTCAGCAATCTGATATCAGTAGGCAAGCTCCAGGCCCCAGGTGTCCAAGAGATTTGGGGGTCCCCTTTGCACATTGAGGGAAAAGGGGCCGGCTCTACCATGAACTGTACTCCCACCCCATGGAGACCCAGACGTTTACCCCCTAGCAGCAGTAGGTAACAAGTGGCCAAGAGAGATCTCAAAATCATTGTCCATCAGCTGACAGGTGATGTACCAGTTTCAATGTATCAATGTACAGGTATGTAAATGAAAGTTACATGAAAATGGGAACATATAAAAGGTAGGGATCATTTATGCAGGCAGCAAGAAATCTGTTGAGAACAACAGAGTTCTCATCTAAAATGAGGACTACAGACCATTTACTACTGAGGTCATTTCGGTTCTGTTCTGAGTACAAATCCAGAAAACTAAATTCGATATAATATGTTTGAGTATTCACTTCCATCCCATCTTCATCCTTGTCATCCTCGTCCTGTGAAGACCTCTGCAGGCCAGAGGTCCTGGCTTCCTGTCGAGCCCCCCCTTTCCAGGTCGCGACCCAGAAATCCATTTTGGGAAGAATTGTCAGAAGGTGAAGTCCTAACAAGGACATGGCAACCTCATGACTGCTATGGTGAAGGGCATCGGGGGGGGGGGGGGCACAGAGTTTCTCTCCCGGCCTTTGTTTCTAAGTGGGAACACACACACACACACACACACACACACACACACACCTCCCCAAGTGTGCTTGCCGGGCAATTAAGTCCCAGTCTTGCAGTCGAATTAATCCCCTTTCTCTGGACAGTGTGAGTGGACTTACCTTGGGCTGCAGAGGTTGCAGTCATCAGCTCGATCTCTCTCTCTCTCTCTCTCTCTCTCTCTTTCTCTCTCTCTCTCTCAGACACCTGCAGCACAACAAGGCGGGCTCCAGGGTATTCGGCGGGAAGGCTCAGGGCGTGCCTCACTTGGCGCCTAAAACAGCGGTCCTGCCCACCCCAGGCTGTCGTCTGTGTCGCTGGCCCCACTAGACCCTGCACCAGGCAGCTGCTGTCAGCAGATAAGCTCTACTGAGTCATCACAGCACTGAGCTCTGCGGATCTCTTGAGGAGTCTTCCCCAATCACACTGGTCTTCCTGAAGACAAATTGTATCATGGACTGTGTTGGGAGGACTTTTTTGGTTGCAGGTGATTAAATACACACAATTTTAGCAGGATCAAGAAAAAAAATAAAGGCGCATGAAACTAAAAAGTCCCGGGGATGGCTAGCCTCAGGGAGGGGGGCTCACATGTGGCATCGCCCAGTCTAGCTCTGCCTCTGCTTTGCTCTCCTCCGTGTTCAATCTCGGATTCCATGTCTACGGGAGAATGACTGCCAGCAGCTTTAAGTCTTCCACTTCCCAGGCCTCCTTCTGCCATCCTGGTCCCCGGCTGCTTCCATCTCAGCTGGGCTGTGTGGGGATCCTGAAGAGTATCCGCCGTCGTGTCGCTTCTCAGGGCTCTAGACCTGGGCTCCCGAGCGCCACGAAAAAGCAGGAGCCTGAAGTTGAGACTGGGGAATTGGAGTGAGACAGAATTCTCTGAGGGCGAGGGAGAGGAGGGTCAGGGGGAGCCAGCCCCAAGCCAGCTACACTTTGCTCCGGGTAAGTCCAGCCAAAGTCTGAGACAGCCCATGCTGACAAAGCCCAGAGATCACCACCTCCATAGGGGTGCAACTTCTGAGGACGCTGTGGGAAAGTTGGGGGTGGAGAGATGTCACCTCTGGCCTCCAAAGGTCTTGGCACGGCTCCTGCGGAGCCTGGCATTTTGCCCCAGACACAGAGTTCCTCCACTGTCATTAATAGAGGGCAAGGAGCCCTGGCTGATTTGGCTCAGTGGTTAGAGCGTCAGCCTGCGGTCCAGAGAGACCCGAGTTCAGTTCCTGCTAAGGGCATGTACCTCAGTTGCAGTTTGTCCCCGGCCCTGGTTGGGTTGCATGAGTGGCAGCCACTCGATGTGTCCCTTTCACGTCGAAGTTTCTTTCTCTCTCTCTCTCTCTCTCTCTCTCTTTCTCTCTCTCCTCTCTCTCTCTCTTTCTCTCCCTCCCACTCTATCTGAACAAAAAATGAAAAAATGTCCTCGGGTGAGGATAAAAAAAAATAGAGGGCAAGGACTGGGAGTGAGGGTGGAGGGGAGAACCTTCTGACCCCTGGTTTAGGGGTGCCTTAAACTAACCTAGGGCAGGATTTCAAAGGTGAAAGAGATGCCCAGAATCTCCGTGAGAGGAACCACTGCACCCCCAGTGCCTGGAAGACATAATATGTGCTCAGTAAATACTCAGTTAATAAATAATGGACTCGATGAAGGTTGGGGAGACCAATTTATTTTACTCCATTTTGCTACCCCAGTTTGTCTCCACTGCACCCTCGTCTGGTGACAAACAGTCTGGGCAGGAATCAAGTGGAGGGCATTCACAGTGGCTGGTGGAGGACTTGCCCTCCTCCGAGTGGGGGCCCACCCCAAGGACAGCATGTCATCCTTCCATCTGCCAAACACGTCTGATGGATGCAACAGGTGTTGGGCTGGAAATTAGGAAATTTAAGACCTAGGGACCATCCAGAACACTTTCAGAACATCCTTACATTTATTGGCCCCATTATTATCTCCATTTCATCGACGTGACGACTGAGGTTGAGGCCGGTGCTAGATCACACAGCAGGAGAGTGGCAGCACCAGCCCCCGGGAGCTGCTCTTCGTTCTGGGAACTCGCTTTGTGACCGTAAGCAGCTTCCTTGCCCTCTCTGGGCCTGGTTTTCCATCTCCGATATTGAGGTCTCCAAACAGGTCTGGGTCTCCTGGGAAGAAGGCCCCCCTGCGGGCCCTCAGGCAGGGGCGCATGCGCTGTCTGCCGCCTCCCCCACAGGCTCTGCTCGCCGCCAGGAGGCGCCGCGGTGCGCACCCTGGAGGCTGGTCCGAGCCTGAACGCACCACGGCGCTGGGCACGTGGGGGCTGCTTGGGCCGTCGCGTGTCTGAGACCATCACAGGGTCTGGTTCTTTGCATCACCTCCCCCTACCACAGAGAATGAAGAGCCGGGTTAGGAAGGTAGGAAAGAAGGGAGAGGAAGAGCAAAGGGCAAAGGAGACACCAGCCTCCCACCCCTGTCCCTCCCCTTACTCTCAGGCGGGGTCCCAGGAGCCCCAGGTCTTGGCAGGGCTCCTTGGTAACCTACAGTCGGGAGAGCCCCATTTCAGGAACAGGTATTCAACACCCACAGGGGACTGCGGCCAGTGCGCCAGGCTCAGGGGACCCACAGCTGAGTGAGACAAACGCCTGTCCCCATGGCTGGGGTGGGGAATGGAGAAGCAGATGGACACAGGCGCCTTCAATCCATCCTGAAGAGTGCGATGAGGAGGCCAGTGCAGGCGTCTGGGAGCAGAGGAGGTGATGTTCTCCCCTTGAGAGGCTGGGCTGGGGAGGGAGATGAGCCTGGGGCTGCCACTACCCGAATGTGTCTAAGGCAGGGGTGTTCTTGCCCCAGGGAAGAGCATGGGCAGGGGCACAAGGACATTGTCCATGAGAAACCACCTGCCACTTCCGCTGGCTCTAGAACCGCCCCCCCCCCCCAAAGCACAGCCCTTGACCTTCAGATGACCTCCAGGCTCTCGATCTCTGGCAGTTCTCACAGTGCAGGTCAACCATATACCCTCTGGCCTCCTTGACTTCCAGTCCCTTCTTCCCAGATCCACAAACTCGTTGCCAGTGAGGCCTGCAGGAGAAGTTTGGCCCCGCTGAAGAATATACTCTCCCTCTAGCAGGGAGCCTTCCTTCGGACCTTCGTTCAGCGCAGGAGTCTCCCCACTTCTCTGGCCAACGAGCCACTCTTCTCTTCTCCCTTCAAGCTCTCAACGCCCCTTTTGCCAACCTCAGGACTTAGAACAGCCTCTCTACCTACTCTGCTGAGGCAGAGGTCATTCAGCTGACACTCCCTCAACACCTCTTCCTTCTCTTCTATGCCTCTCTCATCCCCCATTCTGTCCTCCTAACAGGCTCCCCCTCCGCAGTGTTACCCATCTCCTGTCCACGCTCCACCCAGCTTTCTGATACCGATAGATGATAGATGATAGATAGATAGATAGATAGATAGATAGATAGATAGATGTGTGTGTGTGTGTGTGTTTCTGTTTCTCTGGAGAATCCCAACTAATACACTCCTTCCCTCCACCTCCTTCACAGAGGACATAGCCCACGCTTCCTTCTGGAGAAATGCAAGTGAGTGTGAGATGCTGTGGAAGGAGCAGCGGTGCTCCGGCCTCTCCTCGGGGCGCCAAGGGCCCAGCGTGAGCGTCACGGTGCTGGTCTGCACTGCTCCTTGCAATCCTTCCGGTCATTGCCTGACTCACGGCCCAACACTGAGGAGTTCCGTGCACTGATGAGACAAGATTATTAGAAAATGGGTTTAATTGAAAGAGAAATGTTGATAAATGTGGCAGTCACGCTGCAGATTACATATCAATCCTAAAGAGTCACCATAATCTCTGTTATTATCAGATTTACTCATTCATTCAGTCACTCGACAAGTATTTATTGAATTCCTACATGTGCCAGACACTGTTTTAGGCTTTGGGAACGCAGTAGTGAACAAAACAATTACATCCAAACAAGGACAGACAGACACAAAACAAACAGATGGTTATGTAATGTGTTATAAATGGTTATGAGGAAAAACTAAGCATGGTGAGGGGATGGACAGCAGAGAGGCGAATGGGGGGGGGTGATCTATGCAGATGCCTGGAGAAAGCCTTTTTGTTAAGGTAGCATTTGAACAGAGGCCCGAAGGAAGCGAGGGAGTGGGCCAGGCAGGTCTGTGAGAGAAGGACTTTCAAGCAGAGGGAACATCAGATGCTAAGACCCTAAAGCGTGACGCGTTGGCACGTTCCAGACACAGCAAGGAGGCCAGTGTGGCTGCAAGGGAGTGACTGAGAGAGCGTGTAGTAGGACAAAGTCATGTGGGGTCTTAAGTCCATGATCAGAGCTTTGGGTTTCACTCTGAGAAAGGTAAGAAGCCCTTAGAGTGTTTGTCCAGGGTTGTTGGATTAACTGCATAAAACTCGTAAGCGATGGAGAAAAAAGAGGGGCGGCTTTGCTGTCCAGAGCTTTGGGGCCAGCCTTCCTGAGCCACAATATGCCCTAGAAAGACCTCTGTGGTTGCACTTTCAAAAGCCATTGCCTTGCCTCCCAGTTACATTGTCTCGTCCCCACCGGAGGGACAGGTTTTAACCGTAGGGGAAGGACCGTCAGGGGCCACACTTTGACTTCCTTCTCACATCGCTTGTTCTGACCTTCTTTTGTTATTATCTTAACAACTGTCATGTCAAGATACCACCTTAAAAAATGTCTTCTAAGAAATGTGCCCATGGAGACTGCTGCTCCCCTTCTCCTCACCCACCAGGTGTCCAGCTCAACCTGTAACTCGTACTGAGGATCTCAGCCTTGTGGGGTCAATGCATGTAGAAGCTTCTCTGTTTCTTCCTCACTAACTTTCTGTTCCCACCACCACCATTCTGCTTCTATGGCCAACATGATTACCCCCAACTCACTCACATTTTACTGTGAGAGGGAGAGTCAGGAAATAAAGATATGAGAAAGGGTGAGCAGACAGAAAGAGGGGGAGAAATCTATTTTAAAAGTGAGGAGCAGAAGCAGGAGGGAGGCACTCCATCTCTAAAGAGGTAGGTGGGGAACAAGGAGAGGACTCTACTTCCCCAAACGTCTTTTAAAGTCAAGAAGATCTCAGTGGAAACCTCCACTGGAGGGTCCCTGGGGTCAAGTAACAGTCTTCTATCCCAGATAGGCCAGCCGTAGGGGGAGACCAGAGCCACAGGCAGAAAACATTCCTCCTGGAAGCACACTGTGTTCTCCTACCCCACAGCAATG